CCACCTGCCCTGACCTTTGCCCTGACCCCTGCAGTGTGACAGGCCTGTGCCGCCCTGTGTGCGCCCAGGGTTGTGTGAATGGCTCGTGCGTGGAACCTGACCACTGCCGCTGCCACTTCGGCTTTGTTGGCCGCAACTGTTCCACAGAGTGTCGCTGCAACCGCCACAGTGAGTGCGCGGGCGTGGGGGCCCGCGACCACTGCCTGCTCTGCCGCAACCACACCAAGGTGGGCACCCAGGGCCGCCTGACCTTGGGACCCAGGCCCTTGCTTGCTTTTAGCCTGTGCTCAGGCTCCCCACCCGCCCCAATGCTGGGGCTAGAACCCAGGGCCACCTGCATGCTAGGCAATCACCCTGCCACTGAGCTACACCCCAGCCCTTGTGCTTAGGCATTTTGAGTCTCACTCTGAGCCATGATAAGCCACTCATGGGGAAGCAGTGGCAGAGTCCTGTCCCAGGGAGATGTGAGAAAATTTGGAGACACTGTTGTTGTGGACAGTGGGGAGACTGGGCCAGGGAGGGTGAGCATGTGGTGCTCAGGACACAGGGCTGGAAGTGAGCCGTGAAGGCAGGGGCAGAGTGGCGGACAGGCTGGGACCATACATACCAAGTGCCAAGGCTGTGTGTCCCCTGCCCTGTGATTCTGCAGCCCTTCTGACCGCTCACTCTATCCTGGGTTTCCAGGGCAGCCACTGTGAGCAGTGCCTCCCGCTGTTCGTGGGCTCAGCCGTGGGGGGCGGCACCTGCCGGCCCTGCCATGCCTTCTGTCGTGGTAATAGCCACGTCTGCGTCTCCAGGAAGGAGCTTGAGATGGCCAGGAGGGAGCCAGAAAAGTACTCCCTGGATCCAGAGGAGGTGAGAGTCTGGGTCTGAGGGATGTGGGAGCAGGTGGCCTGGACTCCAGGGTCCTAGAGGAAGAGGGGGATGGAGCCTGGACACCTGGCTCCCAGGGAGGAGGGGGCTGCTCCATTTGGAATCATCCTGTCCTTTTCCAGATTGAAAACTGGGTGACAGAGGGTCCTAGTGAAGACGAAGCTGTATGTGTGAACTGCCAGAATAACAGCTATGGGGACAAATGCGAGAGCTGCCTCCACGGCTACTTCCTCCTGGATGGCAAATGCACCAAGTGAGAGGAAGGGGGTTGGGGCCTTGCCTTTCCCCCTAGGAATCATTATGGACCCCCCAGCCTCTAGTCTTCTGCTCTCAGTCAGAAGAAGATAAAGTCCCCAGGGGGCTCCAGGCCAGGGCAGGGTTGGGAAAATGAGCTGAGTTCAGAGTTCAGAGTTCTGAGGAGTTCAGAGTTCAGGGGCCCCCTCCCTTAGAAGCCAGAGCTGCAGAGCAGCCCAGATGGAGACAAGATGGGGGAGCAAGGAGAGAGGGTTGCTGAGGGGAAAGGTCTCCAAATGACCTTCCCATTCCATGTCTTCCTTCCAGTGTTCAGGGAACTGGAGTCAGTCCAACCTAGGTTCCAACCCTGACTGCCATTTAATGACTCTGCAGCCTTGGCTTGACCTCTGTGAACCTCAGAGGTCATGGGAGCTCCATAACCCCCATTCTCTTCTCCATCCTCAGATGCCAGTGCAATGGCCACGCAGACACCTGTAATGAGCAGGACGGGACGGGCTGCCCCTGCCAGAATAACACAGAGACTGGCACGTGCCAGGGCAGCTCCCCCAGTGATCGCCGAGACTGCTACAAGTACCAGGTGAGGCTGGAGAGGCAAGTTATGGGCCAAGTCCATATCTGCAAAGGATCAGAGGTGGGATGAGGTACCAGTCCTGGGCAGAACTGACACATAGTTCTGAACCTGTGGTCTTTGGATCAGGATCAGCTTAATAAATTGTTTCTGAGTCAGTTTCAGGCCCTGGGCAGTGATCTGAGGACCCAGACAGGCCTCTGGGATTTCCCAGACTGGTGCAGAGACTATCTCCATTACATAGTCCTAATTCAGAGGTTTCAGGTGATGGAAAACCCATCTCATGGTACTTTAAGGAAAAAAGAAAATGTATTGAATCTCAAAACTGATGTCTGGGCCTACCACTGCCCACAGGGGAGAATGCGAAGTTCGTGATGTGCTGGGCACTTCTGAACCTCATGTTCCTTGTTCCCCAGTAGACATCCTACTCTCTGACCTCACCGTGCTTTCCCTGTTTTCATGAACAGTCCAGGCCCTTTCATGGCTCCTTGCTTTGCCTCATTGCCACTGCTCAGAATGTACCCTCTCTCTCTCTTACTGGCTGTGGTGGCGCACGTCTGTAATCCCAGCAGCTCTCGAGGCTGGGGCAGAAGGATCGCGAGTTCAAAACCAGCCTCAGCAAAAGCGAGGCTGCTGAGCAACTCAGTAAGACCCTGTCTCTAAATAAAATGCAAAATAGGACCCCAATCCCTGGTACCACCCTCCCTCCCCTGCAAAAAAAAGAACGCACCTTCTCCCATCTTGTCTTTTTGGCAACTCCCACTTTGAGATGCAGCATAAACATTGTCTCTGTGAAACTCTTCCCGATTATTCCAGATTTCCCCCAAATTTCTTGTTTTGCCACTTCCCATTGCACTTTGTACATTTGTTATAGTAATATTTGGAAATCAGTTTTGGACACTCTTCCCTCATGGTTTCTCAGGCAGGGACCTGGCATGTAGCCCTTGGATATGTGTTTGTGGAATGCTTCTTCACTTAGAATGGTCAACAGGTTGGCAAAATTTAGTTTTCTTTGGCATTGTATTCCCCCTGAGGGTGTCCTGGGATTAAGTAAAAGCTCCCGATGGGGAGTTTACAAGGTTTACTGTTACTGATTTAACCACATTTTGAGGTGTTTTTTTTTTTTTTTTCTTATCAATAATCAAATGTAAAACTTGGGCTCATGGAACACGTGGTTAGAAAGCATTGGCCTTGTCAATGGTGTTCTCCTAAAATGTCCCCTTCCAGATAGTGTATAAGCTGAGATTTGGTAAAAGACAAAAGTGGGTCTTGGCTGTGTTCAGTCTACAAATTACTGAGTTAATGACAGATGGGGTCGGGTAGAGGGTCCTTTGAATTTTGCTGGGTGAGGGTTGTTTTGAGAAAGAAGATTAAAAAAATTGAGGTCTGGGGTCTGCCTTCAGGAATGGCCACGTTCACGTTTCACACAGTGGCCTCAGGAGTCTCCTTGTGTCTGGACTCTGCTTTGGTCAGTGTTGGCCTCTTTCTCAGGCAGGTTTTCCCCGTGTGGCTGCTCCCACCCAGTGGGCTGGGGCTAACACAGGATCTCCTAGCCATTCTAATCCCAGACCCAAACCCCCTTGAGTCCATTTCCCTTTTCTTCTGCAGAGAGGAGGCTCCTGGAGCACCTGGCTGCCAGGCCACAGGCTTACCTCCCCCAAGGAGGACAACTCATGCCCCCTCTTTGGAGCACAGCTCCACCACCCACCTTCTTTGTCCAGGGAAGAGAAATCTCTTGCTTACCTCAGTCTCCTCCTCCCACCTACAGAAACACCCAATCTGCAGAGTTACAACTCCACCAAAGGCGCCTGTTTCCAAGCCTTAAACCTCCAGCATTTCCATCCTGGACCAGAATTTTTGCTTTCTTGGTGTCTGACCAGAAGGCTCAGTCCCAGAGATTAGTCCAGACCTCCTGCTGTAGCAGCTCCATTGCCTGCTCTGAAGTGGCAGGTTTTTTTCAGTTCTAATAATCAGCGGTAGTAATATGTGGCAAGTGCCTGCTGTTGAGCTGGGCCCTGCGCTGTGGAGACAGTGGCAACAGCTCAGAGGTGGAAGGTTTGTCAAGGCTGTGCAGGGGCCTTGGTGAAGTACAGACTTAAAAGGAAAATAGGCTCAGAGACATTCAGCGTTCTGCCCCAGCTCAGGCAGATGATAGTATTTGGAGCCTGGACGGACTTGAATGGTTTCCACAAAGCTGAAGAATCATAATAGTGATCACTCATCCAGTCAACAAGTATTTATTGAGCACCTACTATATACCAAGCACTGTGGGAGGCATTGGGGACCCAGTGGAGAACAGCACAAGCAAAAGGTTCTGTCCTTACAGAGTTTACATTCTCACAGAGAAGTCAGGAGTTACCAGATGAGTAAGTCACACATTGTGTGTACACAGTAGTGAGTGGGAAGGAGAAAAACTAGGCAGAAGCTGGGGTAGGGCTTATTAGGTATAGAAATGGTAGATACAGTGAATGAGGAAGAAATGGTAGATAGTGACACTTGCTGCCAATGTGAGTGTGTCACACGAGTAGACATATGGGAATAAGCCATCTAGACAGAGGATCAGCCTGTGCAAAGATCCTACGGTTGAAATGTACTTAACAGTCCAGAAGCACCTATGTGGGCAGTTAAGATGGACAACCCTGTGCCAGGTGCTTTGTGTACGATATCAGAAGTCTCCTGAGCTGGGTGTGGTGGCACATGCCTATAATCCCAGAGACTTGGGAGGCCAAGGCAGGATTGCAAGTCCAAGGCCAGTCTGGGCAACTTGTGAGACCCTGTCTCAAAAATAAGGATAAAAAGAGCTGAGGATGCAGCTCAGTGGTAGAGCACCCCTGGGCTCAATCCTCACATTGAAGGGAAATAAAAAGAAGTCTCCTGAGCAAGCGTTGGTTCCTGTCTACATATAGAGGAAGTCTCAAGCTCAGAGAGGTTAGGGCACTGGTCTAGAGGACACAGCTAGCAAGGAGTTAGACTCCAACACAGCTCTGCACCTCTGAGCCTCAGAGTGCTGGAGCCACTGCCGGTGACACCAGGGACAGCAGTGCTGGAGAGTCAGGTTCTAGCCGTGTTCGCACTGTGCCTGGAACATTCTAGAGTTTCACATGACAGTGGTGGGGCACTGGTGGGGACTTAAGGCTGTGGCTGCTGACAACAGGTGCAAAGTTTCTGTCCTGCTTGGGGGCCAGCCCTGTACCATGCTCAGTCCTGATGCCCACCTTCCCCCGTGTCCTTCCCACAGTGCGCCAAATGCCGGGAGTCTTTCCACGGGAGCCCTCTGGGCGGCCAGCAGTGCTACCGTCTCATCTCGGTGGAGCAGGAGTGCTGCCTGGACCCCACCTCCCAGACCAACTGCTTCCATGAACCCAAGCGCCGGGCCCTGGGCCCTGGGCGCACTGTACTCTTTGGCGTGCAGCCCAAGTTCACCAACGTGGACATTCGCCTGACGCTGGATGTGACCTTTGGTGCCGTGGACCTCTACGTCTCCACCTCTTATGACACCTTTGTGGTCCGTGTGGCCCCTGACACCGGCGTCCACACCGTGCATATCCAGCCCCCACCACCTCCACCCCCACCCCCGCCTCCTGCTGATGGCGGGCCACGGGGGGCTGGAGAGGCAGGTGGACCAGGGGTTGGTAGTGGGTCGGGCCCCCCGGCAGAGCCACGGGTTCGGGAGGTGTGGCCACGGGGCCTGATTACATACGTGACAGTGACGGAGCCATCGGCAGTATTGGTGGTGCGCAGTGTGCGGGACCGGCTAGTCATCACCTACCCACATGAACACCACGCTCTCAAGTCAAGCCGCTTCTACCTGCTGTTGCTGGGTGTGGGAGACCCAAGTGGGCCAGGCACCAATGGCTCAGCTGACTCGCAAGGCCTGCTCTTCTTCCGGCAGGACCAGGCCCACATCGATCTGTTTGTCTTCTTCTCTGTGTTCTTCTCCTGCTTCTTCCTCTTCCTGTCACTTTGTGTGCTCCTCTGGAAAGCCAAGCAGGCCCTGGACCAGCGACAGGAGCAGCGCCGGCACTTGCAGGAGATGACCAAGATGGCCAGCCGCCCCTTTGCCAAAGTCACCGTCTGCTTCCCACCAGATCCTACTGCCCCAGCCCCTGCCTGGAAGCCACCTGGGCTCCCTCCACCTGCCTTTCGCCGCTCTGAGCCCTTCCTGGCACCCCTGTTGCTGACAGGGACTGGTGGCCCCTGGGGACCCATGGGAGGAGGCTGTTGCCCACCAGCCATCCCTTCCACCACCGCTGGCCTGCGAGCTGGACCTATCACCCTGGAGCCCACAGAAGATGGCATGGCTGGTGTGGCCACACTGCTACTCCAGCTGCCTGGTGGGCCCCACGCGCCCAATGGTGCCTGCCTAGGGTCAGCCCTTGTCACGCTGCGGCATAGGCTGCATGAGTACTGTGGAGGTGGCGGGGGTGCTGGGGGCAGTGGGCATGGAGCTGGTGCAGGCCGGAAGGGACTGTTGAGCCAGGACAACCTCACCAGCATGTCCCTCTGACCTGCCAAGGGTCCTCAGCCACAGCAACCGAGTCACTTGATGGGACCACCCTGGGCTGGGAACCCTTGGACACTGTCTCCTGAGAGACCACTGGTTCCCTCCCCTCCCCCCAGGGTCTCCTTTGTTCTGCATTCAGCAACTATTTATTGAGTACCTACTTTGTGCCAGGCACTGCTGTAGGCACAGAGCAAAGCAGGAAATGAGAGGATTCCTTGACCTTATCTGGGTTCTAGTGAAGGGAGACAATCACACATACACACACACAGCAGGGTGGTTCCAGAGAAGGACCAGTGCTGTGAGGTCTCGCAGGCTGTGGCAGTGTGGGACTGGTGTAGTCGATTGTGTATTCAGAGAAGCTAGACTGAGGAGCACAGGATGTGGCCATGGGAAGAGCTTCAGGAAACATCTTCCAGACAGAGGCAAAAAAAAAAAAAAGGCCAGGAGGTGGGGATCAGCTTATTTTATTGGAAGGCCTAGAAAACTGGCCATTATGACCCAGATCAAGTGTCAAGAGATGAAATTAAGGACAGGTTGGATGTTCTGGTCCCAGGTAGGTTTTTGGTTTTATTCTCAGGGTAACGGAAAGCTGTTGGAGGGTTTGGGGGTGGTGACAGGATCCATGACTGTTGAAGCAGTTGTTTAGCTGAGGTGTGGAGAATGGATTCGAGCAGGGGGAGAAGGGATGGCGGTGAGTGGATCAGGGTGGTGGCAGTGGTGGGGAGAGTCAGGGCCAAGTGTAAGATAAGTGTAGAAAGGTTGCAGTGGTATGGAGGTCAGGGTAGGAAGGGAGCACGTTCTGGGTGACCCTAACTAGCCTGAACCACAGGAGGAGAGTGGGTTCCTTTGTTAAGATGGGGAAAATGGGGCTTGTGGAGAAGATAAAGGGTCCAGGATTTAGAGATGAAGATATAGCCCAGTGGCAGCACTTTTCTAACCACAGGGCTCTGGGCTCACTCCCCAGTACCACACACAAGCCCAAGTTTTGATGTGAGATGCATTTGACATCAACTTCGGTCAGGTCCAGGTGGGCATACAGAAACCAGCAAGAGTGTTTCAGCAGAAGGAATTGAGTAGTGGGAACTGGTGGTGCTGCTGAGAGCAGCGGCTGAGAACAGGTGGGACCATGAGGTGGCCCAGCAGTGTACAAGAGCAGGAAGCAGTTCCTACCCCCTTGGGCTGGAGGGACAAAGCTGAGTGGTAACATTACCTGACCTGGGACCAGGGTCACCTGGTGAAACCAGAAAGATGGGCCAGTGGAAGGGAGCCTCAGAAGGGACAACCCCTGCCTGAGATGCCCCCCAGGTGGGCGTGGGTGTTGGTGAAGGCAAGGGCACCAAGGTTGGAGAGGGACTTAGTGGAGTGATCGCCCTGCAGCTCTTCCAGACAGTGTTGCCTTGACAACTTTGGAGCACTCCTCAGGGGCCACCCTTACCTGAGCCCCGCCTTGGACTTCTGAGCTCCTCTACCCCTTGAAGGCCATTTCTAACCATCTTCCTGAACTTGGGACTCTCCCCCAAGACTCCAACCCCTGTTTGCTGTTTTGGTCCTTGTGTGACTGGGACCACGTCCCCTTGCTGTGGGGTCTGCAGTCTGAGAGACCCCCCCCCATGTTACGTGCATGTCAGAGGCAGCAGGGACCACCTCATCTGAAGAGGAGGGGAGCTACTGAATCAACAAATAAAGAGTGTGGGGGACGACCCAGTGTCCCAGTGTGATCTTCGTGCAGGGGAGGGAGGAATGGATGTCAGCCCTGCACTGGGTCAGTTGGATAAGTGCTCATATTGTGGTGCACCTCCAAGCCCTGTGACCTGGGCTTGTTTCCTGTGTCGCTTGTAGGTGGTGGTGGTGGTGGGAGGTGGATATGGTGGAACTCTTGCTTCCCAGAAGGAATGAACCAAGGGCAGCTGGGACAGGAAGTTCTTTGACCAGGAGCAGGGACCTTGCCCTAGGTGCCTGCCATAAGAAGAAAGTTTGGCTCAGAAGGGAAAACAGACTGCCTTCGTCCAGGTTTTATTCTGGGCCCTAATGTAAGAAGAGTTCAAACCAGGCAGCATGGAGACTGAAATGAGGCCCTAGCAACATGATCTTTCTCTAGTTAAGTATACTCTCAAGTTCAAAACTGAAAGCATCACGGGAGGGTCCCAAACCCTTGGACAAGCAAGAGCTCGGACTGAGGGCAGGGAACTAAAGACCTCTATCTTCCAAAGACCTGTACTGCCTGGGCACCTGCTGGGAGTGCTCAAATGATCCCTTTCTGCCCAACCTGGCTCTGAGCACAAAGCTGGCTGCTTCAGGTGTGCAGGTGAGAACTTGGCAATATGTTAGGCTTGGGGAGTGCCTGAATCCAGTGGCCCATGGATAATATGGTATTTGCAGACTTTGTGGGCAATTTAGGGGATTTTCAGGGATTACTCTGACCACAGTACCTCCAAGATGTATAGACTATGAACTTGGTGTGTATTGAGTGCCATGTGCTGGTGAGTTGACTTGGCATGTTACTGCTGTGGCCTCATTTGATTTTCCCCAAGAACCGAGTGAGGTAGGAGTCATGTGATCCCATTTTGAGGGTGGGTACTGGGGATTGAACTCAGAGCACTCAACCACTGAGCCACATCCCCAGCCCTATTTTGTATTTTATTTAGAGACAGGGACTCACTGAGTTGCTTAGCACCTTGCTTTTGCTGAGACTGGCTTTGAACTCACTATTCTCTTGCTTCAGCCTACCGAGCTACTGGGATTACAGGCGTGTGCCACCACGCCTGGCTGTAATCCTCATTTTGCAGATGAGAAAGGATTATAGACTTTACTTGGATGTCCAGTGAGTGGCAGCTGCCATTTGAACCCTGCCCAGTGCCTGCCCTGCATGCTGTCCTACCTCCTGGGAAAGGAGCCCTTCCCTTAGCACAGGTCGCTGTAGCTGAAAGCTTCCTAGCAGGAAGCAGGCCCTAGAGCCAGGGTGTACAAATTGGGATTTCTGTTTGGGGATAAAGCAAGCAGAATTGACCAGCCTGGGAGCTGAGGGTTAGCAGTGAGCCATGCTGCTTGGAGACAAGAAACCCCGAATCACAGGAGAGTATATCCTGCCTAGAAAGGAGCGAAAGTTCTTCAGGTCTCTGCATTATGCTTGGACCCTTTAGGTAGGAAACCTTCCTAGTAGTCACCCTGTAACTTAACCTTCCTAAATAGAGCATATGCTCTATGACTGGCCCTTTTCTCAGTGACTCAGAGCCAGTCTTCCTTTGTCATCTGTCACTGACATGTGTATGCCCCTGTGTACTTGCCCTGTAGCGCATGCATATATACCCTTCAGGTTGACCTCTCAGCTCTCACTTCTCTCTGGACGCACTTGAATGCAAGAGGCTTGTGGTGGGTGAACACCTGGGAATGGGAGGTCAGAGGCCTGGATTCTAACCCACTTGTGGCTGCCAACATAACATCCTGGAGACTTAGGGAAGGGGGGAACATTCTACCAAGGGTCTATAACCCTCCAGGCACTGTGCAGGGTGCTTGGCATGAGTGTTTCAGTTTTCCCAACATCACCACTGAAAAACTTATTCTCCTATTTTGTGGATTTGAGAGCTAAATCTCTTTAAAAACTCCAGGCAAATTAAGAGGAAAATTGGATTCTGATACAAACTGACTCCATTGCTCCACACAAAATCATCTTTTTTAAGCCTATGCCATCCACCTGGGATCACCTACACTGGGCCCCACACTATTCTGGGTGCTGGGGACACAGCAATGAACGAGGTCCCTACCTTTCTAGAGCTGATAAACCAATGAGGTACCTGATAATAAGTAAATGATGTCATGTCTTGAAACATGGCCTGAAAAGGCAGTAAAGGGAGGGAGGTTAACACTTGCAATTTAAGCCAAGTTGGGAAGAAAATTCCTCTCTATAAGATGATGTGAGCAGCAGTGGGGGTGAGCCAGACAGCATCTGAGGGAAGATTCAGAGCAAAGCCCCCGAGATAGGAGTATGCCTATCTCGCATTTAGAGAAGAACAGACCCACATGGTTAGAGCAGAAGAAATAAAGGGGATACAGCCTGATATTTTCAGCCTGAAAAGGAGAGTGGATGGAACAAGATGGGGGCAGCACAGTGGGTAGGAGTGAGATTTGGGGTATATTCTGAAAGTAGAGCCAACAGAATCTGTTGACAGCTCGGCACTGGAGGGAAGGGACAGGGACCCAGTAGCCGCCACAGAGCTTGCTATTTTCTAAGATTGGGGAGAATGTGGGAGGTGGAGGGGTGGGGTGGGCCAGAAGTTAGGTTGGAATATGTTAAATTTGAGGCAGCTCTTAGATATTCTAAGTGAAGATATCACTTGATGGTTATGTATGCAGATTGGGGGGGGGATAACATTAAATAAGAGTGACAATATGTTAATGTGGGAATAGTCTACCATATACACATAATAGTAATATTAACAACAATGATTAATTGAAGTCACACTTTGGCCTTTCTTTCTGTTCTATCCCTTGTCCTTATAGTAGCATTTTGGCGTATTAGGGATTGATATCCTCAGAGGACAAAACAAGCTCAGAAAGGTTTATGAATTCACCAAAATAACACAGCTAGTAAGTTGTAAGAGTTGAGATTAGATGCCAAGTTGGTCCCATCTTGAGTCCTGAACATACTCTGACCTACTAGTTGCTTTTGCAGAAAATGTTACTGAGCAAAAATGGGTCTACTTGCTGCACAGTGGAGCCATTAGTTGAGTGGCAAGGTGGTGGGAGAGAAAGGCCTTTATTCCAATGATGATCACAAGATGGCGGACCAGCAGTCTGTTATCCTAAAGGACCATCTTGCTGGAAGCTGATTTAGGAGTGGTTTATACATATAGGAGATGGCCGATTATAGTCTGGTGGGTGCCTTTTGACAGGTGGGAGTTTGAGGCCAAAAGATGCTCAGCTGGTCTTTCTTTCTTTCTTTTTTTCTTTCTTTCTTTCTTTCTTTCTTTCTTTCTTTCTTTCTTTCTTTCTTTTTGTATTGGACACTGAACTCAGGGGCACTTTACTGCTGAGCCACATCTGCAGCCCTTTTTAATTTTATTTTGAGATGGCCTCACTAAGTTGCCTAGGGTCTCACTAAGTTGCTGAGGCTGCCTCAAGCTTGCGATCCTCCTGCTTCAGCCTCCTGAGTCACTGGGATTACGGGCATATGCCACCATATCTTGCCACACATGGTCTTAATAATCAAGTTATAAGACATTTTTCAATTCTATAGATCTCAACAAAAACAGTGGACTTACATGCAATTTCCAACACATAATTCAGTGGACAGGCCAGAGGCTCTGTTGCTGATCACTGTAGGAAATGAAAGAAAGCATACTGCCAGGCACACATGTGTTAGCCCAGCTACTTGGAGGTTGAGACAGGAGAATCCCAAGTTTGAGGTCAGCCTCATCAACTCAGCAAAACTCTTGTCTTTAAATGAATGAATGAATGAATAAATAGGTCTGGAGGTGTGGCTCAGTGGGGCAGCCCTGGGTTTAAATAAAATAAAATAAAGCAAAAACACATGTCACCTGACTATTGTCAGACAAGGGTTTGACAAAACAAGGGTCTGACTTGTCAGACAAAGGTCTGGCTATTGAAAGACAAGGGTCTAGTGAAGTTAAATATGGAGTTGGGCATGCTAAGGGAGAGAGAGAGTTCTCTCCCTTAATGCTTAGCTTCATAAAGAGGGTTGATTGAGGAGGGCAAGAACCAGAGCCCTGAGATTTCAAGGCACTAGGTGCTCCTTGAGAGGGTTTGCTGGGTGAGCTGGTTAAAACTCCTTAGAAAAGTGCCATCCCTCTCCCTCTGACTCTGAGCTCAGAGACTTAAGTAGAAGCCAGAATAGTCTATACCCCTGATCTGTTCTGTTGGCCAGCTTTGTCTTTCCCTGAACTTGCCATAAGTTCTAGACCTGCAGATTTGGGGTCAGCCAACAGAGGAGGTAACTTTCTTTGCACAGCCCTGCCATATACACTCAAACACAATGTGAAAATGAGTCCCCTGGGCAGTGCTTCCTGAGTAGCCCGAGGCCCCAACAACTCATGTCCTTGCAGAAGTCAAATCCAGCTCCCAGAGGCTCCTTTATTCCAGACTAGCTCTGTTCTTGATATGAAAGGCCATAGGACATTCCTCGGCAGGAAACTAGTCTTATTGGAGACTTGAGAGGGCAGCTTGGCCCCTGGGCTGGGCTGAATTAGGAAAATGGAAAATTGAGTGTACCATCAAATTGTGTCCCCAACTTCAGCCATTAGGGAGGGGTATTGCTAAAGATGGACTAGACAAAGTGTACTTAATCAGAGTACACATCGATTCCATTGAATTCCCAATTTCTGTTCTAGATGCTATCAGGTGCTGTCATATCCCTACCTCCTTCACCAAACCTCCCTCTCCACCCAGATTCCTTCCTAGGGAGAAAAAAAAAAAAAAAAAAAAAAAGTAGCCGAGGGAGTCTGAAAATTAAAAGTGACATAAAAATATATTTGTGAAGTATAGACAAAAAAGAATCCCAATCACTGTTTAAAAATATTTTG